GGCTGAATTTAATAAATTTAGGTTGTAGATGAGTTGGGAACATTTCCTGAAAGTTTCAGCCTCCCATCTTCCCTGGTTCCGGAGTTATCCACTTTCCTACCAAAAATTTTTACGGGATCGTACGCGGCAATCATATATAAGGGGGGCTAAATTTCATAAATTTAATTTGTAGATGAACTGAAAACATTTGCTGAAAGTTTCAGCCCCCAGCTTTCTTGGTTCCCAAGCCAGCGATTTTCGCGCCAGGAACCCTTACGGGATCGTACGCGGAAAATACGCATACCTGGGGGCTGAATTTAAAATCTTTGAGTTCTATACGGACGGGGAGCATAATCCCAAAATTTAAGCTTTCTAGCTTTTCTGGTTCCCAAGTCAGCGATTTTCCAGCGAAAACTTTGAGGCGCTCGTACGCGGGGCCTAGATGTGCATGAGGATTGGTACCGCGGTCCTGGAGTGGCACTTGGCTGGGGAACCCTCTCGCAAAATTTTGGTGCCCGAAATTGCTTGGGTACCGAGTTGAAATACTCGGGCTGACGCACACATACACACATACACGCACACACACACACACACACGCACACCGAGGTTGTCGCAATATGCATTTTCGCGTTTGCATATATGCAAAAACGCATGAAAATGCACGTTCATTTGCATATAGATTGCGGTTAAGGTTCAAGCTGCGAACGAGTTTTTTGAAAATGTGCAAATTTTCAGTTCGTTGAAAAATTGAAAGTATTGCTCGAACGGTCGTTTTTCAAAAAATCCATGTTCATTCGCATATACATTTATGGCTCAGGTCCGAGTTGCTAATGATTTTTGAGTTCAGGAGCTGCTTGAGGCTGTGGTTGGGGAGCTAGAGAGCTGAGTTAAAAATTTTTATCTCGCACGTGCATAGAGAATATCCCTACAAGGTTTCAGCTTCCTACGTTGCCCGGTTCGCGAAATCGTTTCCACCCAACATATTTCTTTGGGGGGTCTCGTACGCGGGATCTATGCGCGCATGGGGAAAGATAAAAGGGGAGGATGATACACGGGGTACGAACATACATCCAAAGTTTCTGCCTCCCAGCTTTTCCTAGTTACGAGATGAAAGTGGGTGACAAAATGCACTCGCTTTTAGA